ATAAGGGCAAACATTCCATTAGCCTTCCCGATTATAGTGAGAATTCAGGTCCAGTGTGCTCCTCTAAGAGTGAAGGGCAAGGGTAGCAGGTCCAAGGCATTTTATAAGTAAGTATAACAGAATTACCAGAGGAAGAGTGGGACCTATTAGAGACTAAAGGGACAACCTGCACATGGACCCAGTGAATGCCGGTAAGGTCTGAAATGAATACTTGTCATCTGTATTCAGAGAAGAAAAACATTGCAGTTGGGGATTTCAGTTGGGATAGTGAAGTTCTAGAACATGTGAATGATTAATGAGGCATTAGATGTTTTAGTGGCCTTAAGGTGCTTAAATCCCAGGGATGTAAAGAGATGTATCACAGACTGCTATGGGTGGCAAGAGAGGAGTTGCTGGGGCCCTGGCAGATATATTTAATACTTTGCTGGCCACAGGTGAGTGCCAGATGACTGGAGGACAGTTAATATGGTTCCTTTGTTTAAGGGCAGCAATGATAGGCCAGGTAATTATAGACCTCTTAGGCTGACATCAATGGCACGGAAATTCTGAAGGACAGAATTAATTAATACTTAAAAAGGCAGGGAATGGTTAAGGATAGTCAGCACGTATTTGTCTGAGGGAGATCCTGTCTGACTAATTTGATTAAATTTTTTGAAAAGGCAACTAAACACATTGGTGAGGGTATGCAGTTGATGTGGTTTACATGGACTTCAGTAAGGGCTTTGACAAAAATCTCACATGGAAGGCTTGCCCAAAAGGCAAGGGCCCATGGTATCAAGGCAAACTGGAAAACTGATACAAAACTGGTTTATAAATAGGAGGCAGAGAGCAATGGTAGAGCGAGGTTCTTGTGTAATTGAAAGCCTGTGACCAACAGTATACCACAGGGATCAGTGGTGGGACCCTTGCAGCTTGTCATGTACATTAATAACTTGGATGTGAATATAGAGGTAATAATTAGTAAGCATGCAGATGACATGAAAACTGGGTGTTGTTAATAGTGAGGAGGATGGTCTCGGCCAGTTTGACACTGGTCAGCTGGTAACTTGGGAAAAGCAAATAGTGGATGGAATATAATCCTGATAAATGCAAGTTGATGCATTTTGGGAGGTCTGATGAGGGAAGGATATACACCAATAAATGATAGATCTCTACGGAATATTGACAAGGAAAGGGACCTTGGTGTAGAAGTCCACAGATCCCTGAAGATGTCAGCACAGATGCAGGATCTTGAAGGATGCATAAGGGACGCTTACCTTCGTTAGCTGGGGTGCAGGATATAGTGGCAAGGAAGTCTTGTTACAACTTTATAAAACAGTGGTTAAGTCACAAATGGAATACTGCATGCATTTCTGGTTGTCACGCTGTCAGAAAGACATGATTGCTTTGGCCAGGGTGTAGAGAAAGATTCACCAGGATGCGACTTGGGATGAAAAATTTCAGTTATGGGGAGAGACTGGACAGACTGGGTTTGTTTTCCTTACAGCAGAGGAGGCTGAGCGGGTATCTGATTGAGTTATATAAAATTGTGATAGGCACAGACAGATCGTGAGAATCTTTTCCCCATGGCAGACGTGCCCAAGACCAGAGGACAGAAGTTTAAGGCGAGGAGCAGTGGTTTACAGGAAGAAGCTTTTTCACCCAGCGGGTGGTAGATATATTGAATGTGCTGTCTGAAATGGTAGTGGAGACAAGTGATCTAGCAACATTTTAGGTAGTGTCCAGATGAGTACTTAAAATGCCAGGGCATTGTAGGCTATGGACCAAGTGCAGGTAAATGGGATTAGTGCAGTTTGGTGTTTGTTGGTCGGCAAAATCATAGTGGGCTGAAGGGCCTGTTTCTAGGCTATATGATTCTTCACTACTCTATGATTATTGGGAGAATGCTGAATGCTGGGAACAATGAGAAAGATTTGGGGGTTTGGGTGCATAAAGGAACAAAGGAAACAGCTCAAGGCCATAATAAAGGTAATGAATACTGGGTCTTTGTAGTAAGAGACACAGAATGTTAAAGTTTGATGTACTTGTGCATCTCAATTGTAAGACCATCCAAAAGATATGCAGGTTAGGTAGACTGGCCAAGCTGAATTGTCCCTAGTGCCCAGAGATGTGCAGGCTAGCCAAATTAGCCATGGGATATGCAGGGTGTTAGGGTAGGGGGTGGTGGGTGTGGATGGGATGCTCTTCAGAGGGTCATGCGCACTCAAATCGGCCACATGCCCTGCTCCACACTGTAAAAATTCTATATTCAAGAATACGACTGAACTCCAAATTGTGGTAAACATGGGACAACAGTAAAAGGTGCATTGTTTTTACTAGTATTCTGCCTATTACAAGGAATATTAATCTGAACACCTGAACAAATCAGTCATTTTGTTTTTAAAAAAAAAAAAGGGCAATTTGACAGTACAGAGTAGATAGAAACAAATGGTTTCAGTTGATAAATGAGTAAATTCACAGGGAAAGATTAAAAAAAAAAATCAGAAAAATAAAACAGTTAGAAAAACAGAGCAAGCAGATGTCACTAGAAAGCTAATGTCTGGAGGATAAATACCAAAGTCATGTAATAGTTAAGATACTGCATAATTCTACGCAACTTTGTGTTCAAGAGCAAGCTGCTACTACCAAAAATGACCCATATGGCGTTAAAAAATTAAAGTAACAGCAAACCAATCATAACTACACTAAATCAATATTTCTTTTGATAATGAAATGGTCTATGGCAGCAAGTACTGTAAAGCATAAAAGGGCTTTAATATTCTTTAGTAACATTTTTTACTTTTTCATATGATGTGAGCCAATTGTTGCCCATTCCTAAATGTGCTTGAGACTGGTTTAAGGTGTTTTCCACCTTTGCATTCTATTCTAACATATTAATCAGAAATGTGTTTAAATAGTACTCAAACAGGAATCTTATTGCAACCCATTGACTTGTATGCTGCCAACTGAATCCAAATTCCAAGCTGGAAATGAAGAAATGCCAAGCAGTTCAGCTTCTCTTCTTGATTGTATCTTGATGCCAAACAACGTCGAGACCATGCAGAGGAAGTAAAGAAAGGTAATTAAAAAACCTTCAAACTTCTCTACAAATACATTAAACATTTAATTGTACAGTTTTATTACAACTGTTATTTAAGACCATTCAAAATAGGAACAGGAGGTGGCCATTCAACTCCTTGAGTAACTATGACATTCTTCACATCCACCTTCTTGCTCCGTCTCCAAAACCCCGATTCCCCTACTGATCAAGAATTTATCTCAGCCTTAATTACGTACAAGGACTCTGCCTCCACATCTCTGTCCGAAGGAATTCCAAAGACTCTCAAGCCTGTGAGAAGAAATTTGTCCTCATCTCAGTCTTAAACTGTTACCCCTTATTTCCGATATTATGCCCTCTGGTGCTAGACTCTAAGAAGGGAGACATACCCTCTGCAATTACCCTGTTAAGGCCATTATGAATCCTGTTTATTTCGATGAGATCACCTTTCGTTCTTCTGAACTTATTGAGTAGTGTCCCAACTTGTTTAGCCTTTACTCATAAGACAAGTCCTCCATATCAAGGATCATCAATCCTAATGTACCTTCTCTGAACTGCCTCCAATGAAGTAGGGTTTTTCCTTAGACAAGGAACCAAAACTGCTCAACAATACCTTGTACTATTGCAGTAAGACTTTATTCTGATGCTCCAAACCCCTTGAAATATGGGCCAACATTCTATTAGCCTGCCTGAATACCTGCTGTACCTGTGTACTAACTTTGTTTTGTGCACAAGTACCCCTAAATCCCTGTGTGTTGCAGCTTTCTTCAGTTAAATAATAATATTCTGTTTTGTTCTCCCTTCCAAATAAACAACTTCATATTTTCCCATATTATCCTCCCTTTGCCAACATTTTGCCCAATTACTTAACTTAACAATATCTCACTGTAAACTGTTTATATCCCTCTTACAACCTTCCTTTCCTTTTTTTGTGTCGTCTACCAATTTGGCTACATTACATTTGTTTCCTTTCTCCAAGTCATTAATATATATATTTGAAACAGTTGTGGTCCCAACACTGATCCCTGTGGAACCCTACTGGTCACACGTCATCAACCTGAAAAAGAACACTTCATTCCCACTCACTGTTTCCTATTCATTAGCCGATTCACAATCTATGTTAAAAATCACCTCTAACACCTTGTGGAGTGCCTTCTGGAAGTCCAAGTACAACACATCTACTGGTTCCCCTTGATTCTCTTCGGTTGAGGCTTCCTCAAAAAATTTTAACAAATTGGTCAGACACCATTTCCCTTTAATGAAGCCATGCAGACTGTGCTTGGATTAGATTTGATTTTCCAAATGTTCTGCTATTACTTCCTTAATAACTGATTCCAATACTTTTCCAACAATAGATGTTAGGCTAATTGGCTTAATAGTTATTTGTTTTTTGCCTCCCTCCTTTTTGAGTAGGCAGTGCTACGTTGGCAGTTTTACCACAATCAAAGGATTTTTGGAAAATTACAACCAATGCATCCACCAACTCTGTAGGTCCCTCTTAAAATCCTAGGATGCAAACCAGAGCCAGGGGACTTATTTTAGCACCAATAGTTTGTCTAATATCACTTCTCTAGGAATGATGGTGGTGCTTAATTCATCCTTCCCCCGTATTCTTTAGTATTATTATTATTAATAATAATAGGAAATTCGAATTATCTTTCACTGTAAATTTAGTACACACTTACACTGAGAATAATCATTTGTGAGGGCATCATGTTAGGGTTTATAATCCAATAATTTGCTGCTGCAGTTTTTTAAAATCAAAAATGCATTTCATACTTCATTTATAGGTAAAATTTTGAAGAGTATACTGAAAGCTATCACCATGGCACTGAATTCTGGTGCCATTCATTAGCGATAAAAACTGTCCTAGAAAACTATCTGAACCTCATTTTATTATCTGCAGCATCACCAACTTCCGATTACCTACATAATTAATGCACATTAGGTACGTACCTAGTCATTTTCTCAGGTTAGTTGGTTCTGACAGTAACTGTATAAGGCGTTGTTTCCAGTACAGCGGAATACTTGCTCCAGTTTTGGATGAAGCTTTAAGATAAACTTTTAAAAACAAAAGTATGTCACCCATAAGTTGTTTTTCCACTATCGCATAGAACCGTTAAAATAATAATATTAATAGTTAGGAAAGTATATTTAAAAATTGCACCATAGATTTGAATGGCAGCTTATTCTTGTTTCTCAGGGATTGATTGCTGAACCAGTATATTCATGCTATAATGTTGAATTTGACCAGAGATAATCTTCCAACCACATATTCCACTCCATTAACAAGATTTCCTTAATTTACTCCTGTAACACTGCCTGACTTTGCTCATCTGCTGTTCAAATTTGCAATAACTTATCTGTAGGTTTAACCATGCTCGTCTAATCAGACTCTCAACTTTCACTCTCCATAAAACTGAGCTCATCAAAACACTGCTGTCTATATCCTAATTCACAACATTTCTTGCATACCTATTATCCCTTTGTTTGTTGACAGTCTGACATGGCCATGGATGGAGTTGAAGACAAGAATAAAAATTATAAAACTGAGGCTAAGATCTTCCCTGCACGAGCTCCACCAACCTCTAAGATATCTACACTTTTGCAATTACAACATTATGCATTTCCCCTAATTTTAATTGTTCCATTCTTCCGACTGACCAAATTCCAAGCTCTGGAATTTTCCTTCACATCCAATTCCTTTTCCTCCATTATTATACTCCTTAAAGCACACCTCTCACCAAGCCACTGCTCAACTGTCCCTTAACTATCCATTACTTGGCTGTGTATATTTTTGTATAAAACCAAGTTGTGGTTGGTACAGAAAATAACAACGCAATACTGAACAGTAAGATCTCTTGTTCAAACCATGATCTTTGCAGTTAGCTGATCTTAGCTGGGGCAATGGCAGACATGCCCCAATGTACACAAGTGCAATTGTAATTAGGAATAGCAAAATGCTCCAGGCCACTTTATAAAAACTTCTGATGGGAAGTGCACTTTACTTACATTTACAGTGGCCTTTTATGAAAGGAGCAAAAATGTGTGATCAGGTGAATAATGGTACTTATACACTAAAATATTACTATATGGGCAACAAATACAGATTTACAGCATGTGACAGCGAGCCAAGAATACATTTGGCATTTTTTACAAGAGGGAAAACTATCGAAGTTAAAGTTAACATCAGCAAGTGGAATTGACATTCTTTTGAAATTTCTTACAAGAAGCATATTTCATGTTATTTAATTCACTGGCTGTAACACTTACCACAATTACCTTCCGAATATCTTGCAAGCCCAGCCGCTGCCATCTTTTGGGAAAGCTGAGATCCTCTTCTAAAAGAAATAAAAAGTTTAATCAAGAACAGCAAAGTAACTAAGTTAAAGAAATTGAACTTATGCTGATATAGGCTTTGACTGTTAAATTAAACTGGACTAAAATTATACATTACTGTGAAAAATGGAGAGATTATACCTGAGTTGGTGGCTCTTTATTTACCATGTATTAGCTTCCTCAGCTAAACTGGCATAGGGTTAAAAATAAATGAGTTAAATGCGTGGCTCAACGATTGATGTGGGTAGAATGTTTCAGTTCATGGGACAATGGCTCTTTTCTACCCCAGTAGCGATGCCATTCTGGTGAGATGGGTTTCACTTGACATGCATTCATGTAGATTACGAAAATCAAATTGACAGTAGCCATGAGTAAGAACTCACAGGGTATTCACAACAGTTTCGTGGAACGATATGTTGTCGATCCAACCAGGGATCAAATTATTTTTGATCTGGTAATTTGAAATGAACTTCACCAAATTATTTCAGAATAAAAGAACACCTATAAAAGTGACCATAATGTTGTAGAACAGAGCATGCAGTTGGACAGCAAGAAAGTTGGGTCAGAAATAGCTATGTTACCAGTGTATGCATTAGTTAAAAATCTTCTGAGAACCATGAGATTCTCAAATTATTGGAGGATTGGAAAACTGCCTTATTCAAAATGGGAAGGAGACTAAAATCAGGTAACTATAGCCCAGTTGGCTTGACATTTGTTATTGGGATAATGTTAGGGCCTATTATAAATGATGCAATAGCAGAGCTCTTAAACTTGGTATTATGGTCAAAGAGTGTCATCATGGCTTCCACGAAGGGCAAGTCACATTTATTAGAATTCTTTGAGAAAGCAACAAGCATGATTAATGAAGTTGATGCAATATAATTGGATTTCCAAAAGTTGTTTGATAAGGTACCACACATTAGACTACTTAAGATAAGAGAAAAGAGATAAACATAGAACATAGAACGGTACAGCACTGTACAGGCCCTTCGGCCCACGATGTTGTGCCGAACTTTTACACTAATCGTAAGGTCTATCTAACCTCCACCCCTACCTTATACTATCATCCATATGCCTATCTAATAGCTGCTTAAATACCACTAATGAGGCTGACTCCACTACCCTCTCCAACAATGCATTCCACGCCCCGACCACTCCGAGTAAAGAACCTACCTATGACCTCTCCCGTATATCTACCTCCATGCACTTTAAAACTATGCCCCCTTGTAATAGCTACCTCCACCCTAGGAAAAAGTCTCTGGCTGTCCACTCGATCTGTACCTCTGATCATTTTGTACACCTCTATCAAGTCACCTCTCATCCTTCATCGTTCTAAAGAGAAAAGCCCTAGCTCTCTCAACCTTTCCTTGTAAGACCTTCCCTCCATTCCAGGCATCATCCTGGTAAATCTCCTCTGCACCTTTTCCAAGGCTTCCACATCTTTCTTGTAATGAGGCGACCAGAACTGGACACAATACTCCAGATGTGGCCCAACCAGGCTTTTGTATAGCTGGAGCATAACTTCACGGCTCTTGAACTCAATCCCTCTATTAATGAAAGCTAACACACCATATGCCTTCTTAACAACTCTATCCACCTGGGTGGCAGCTTTCAGGGAACTGTGGACATGAACCCCAAGATCCCTCTGCTCCTCCACACTGCCAAGAATCTTTCCGTTAGCCCTGTATTCTGCTTTCAAGTTTGTCCTTCCAAAATGAATCACCTCACACTTTTCAGGGTTAAACTCCACCTGCCACTTCTCAGCCTAGCTCTGCATCCTATCAATGTCCCTTTGTAACCTAGAACAGCACTCCGCACTATCCACAACTCCACCCACCTTCGTATCATCCGCAAACTTACTAATCCACCCTTCCACGTCTACATCCAAATCATTTACAAAAATCACAAATAGAACAGGACCCAGAACTGATCCTTTGGTTCACCACTCGTAACTGAGCACCATGTTGAATATTTTCCATCCACTACCACCCTTTGTCTTCTAAGGGTCAGCCAATTCTGAATCCAATCTGCCACATTCCCCCCTATCCCATGCCTTCTTACCTTCTGCATGAGATTACCATGGGGAACCTTATCAAACGCCTTACTTAAATCCATGTATACCACATCCACCGCTATACCTTCATCCACGTGTTTGGTCACCTCTTCAAAGAATTCAATAAGGTTTGTGAGGCATGATCCACCCCTCACAAATCCATGCTGACTATCACGAATCAAACTGTGCCTTTCCAAGTGATCATAAATCCTATCTCTCAGAGCCCTTTGGGCAGCATAGCAGCATGAGTGGAAGTAGGACTCGAGTCCTCATGCAAAATTCACAAAAAGGTAGCATAAAAGTTCAGCAGGTAAAAAGCAAGGCAAATGGAATGTTGGCTTTTATTTCAAAAGAGGTGGAGTACTAACATAGGAAGAACTTGCTATAATTATACAAGGCATTACTTAGACCACACCAATAATATTGGTGTGCAGTCCAGAACTAGGTGGAACCCTGTTACAGAAAGATTGTCTTAGGATTGCAGAAAGATTGAATAGTTTGTGAATTGCACAACTCACGTTGTGGTTAGGGTTTTAACCTTAAAAGTTAGGTAGGCTGGTGGTGGGGGGCGGAGGAATTCAATTGCACAGAAAATTATGCAAAAAGTTAAAGGTTGGGGGGGCTCTCAGGAGAGGTTCAAGTTTTGAGAACAAGTAATAGGAGAGAGTATGGAAAGGGTCAGGAGTTTGACTTCAGGGATAGCAGAAAATGGGACAACTATGAGAAGTGAGGCAGTCAACACAGAACTGAGGGTGTTGTATGTAAATGCATGCAGTATATGAAATAAGGTAAATAAGCTTGTAGTGCAGATTGAAATTGGCAGGTATGATGATGTGGGTACCACAGATGTAGCTGAAAGGGGATCAGAGCTAGGAATTAAATATTTAAGGATACACATCCTATGTAAAGGACAGGGAGATGGGCAGAGGGGGCGGAGTTGCCATGTTAGTAAGAAATGAAATGAAATTGATAGCAAGAAGTGATTTAGAGTCCGACGGCATAGAATCTATGGGTAGAATTGAGGAAACTATGAAGGAAGAAAAAAGGCCTTGATGGGAGTTGTATACTGGCTTCAGAGCAGTAGTCAGGATGTGGAGAAGAAAATAAACGAGGAGACAGAAAAGGCTTGTAAGAAAGGTACTACCACAATAACCACTGTAATCGTGATCAATATGCAGGTGGACTGGGAAAATAAGGTTGGTAGCAGATGTCAAGAAAAGGAATTTGTGGAATTTCCACAAGACTTTTTTTTAGCTGCTTGTGGTACAGCCACTAGGGAATAGGCGATTCTGGATTTGGTGACACATAATGAGGCAGATTTGATTAGGGAGTTGAAGGTGAAAGAATCGCTAGGGACCAGTGTCCGTTAAATCATTGCATTCACCCTGCAGTTTGAAAGAGAGAAGATTGAATCAGATGTAATGGTATTACAATTGAGTGAACATAACTACAAAGACATGGTCAGAATTGAGTGGAAGGGGAGACTAGCAGGGAAGAAAATTGAGCAGCAATGACAGGAGTTTTTGGGAGTAATTCAGAAGGCACAGCAGAAATTCATCTCAAGGAAGGGGAAACATATTAAAGGGGATGAGGCAACCACAGCTGTCAAGGGAAGTCAGGG